CTATTCTATTCTATTCTATTCTATTCTATTCTATTCTATTCTATTCTTTTAATTGTGATGCTTCCGACATGAAACAAACATGGTTAATCTGTTCCTTTCACTCCTTGTACTTTTGTAGCCTTTGTAACTAAGGAGAAACTGCCCTTAGTTTACAAGCTAGAGCTGCCCGATGTGAATCTTCAGGGAAGGGCCTAATTCCTGCTTCTATTCTAATATTTTGTTTTTCCTCTGTGTTTACTGGCACTCGTTGGCCAGATATTCACGCCAAGGCCTTGTGATTTGTTGGCTGGTTCCAGTGGGATGTTCTCACCAAAGAAGGTTGGTTGAGTGACTGTACAGGTAGTCCTTGACTTACAACCACAATTCCTGTTGTTAAATGAGGCATTTGTTAAGTGAATTTTGCCCCCTTTTTACGACATTCCTTGCCACAGTTGCCAATTGAATCACTGCAGTTGCTAAGTTACTAACATGGTTGTTAAGTGAATCCCTATTGACTTTTGCTTGAGAGAAGGTCACAAAAGGGGATTATATGACCCCGGGACGCAGCAACGGTCATCAACATGAACCAGTTGTTAAGTGTTGTACCTGTGAAAAACAGTCAGTCGTCTCTTTTTTCCGGACCATCGTAACTTTGAACTTACAAACTGTTGTAAGTTGAGGACTACCTGCAGTAGCTTTAGATCCCGTTAGGAATGTTTGTAGCAAATAGATTCTTGAGACTTTCCAGCAAAGCTGCGATTTGAAGGCCTGGGAGATCCCAGTAATCTGCAAGGTTGCTTTGTAGAAGTTGCTCAGTAGAAGTTCCACAGTTTGTTTTTCTGAGCCAAATCGGCTGAGAGCATTTTTCTTCAATTTAGCTATTTCCATACGAGATGAACTACACACTCCTAACTTTTTGATTCAGTGGTGAAAATGTCCCGTATTTTTTTTAAAAAAAAATCATTTCAACCTGTCCAGTTCCTGCTCCCTCTTTGAAGAAGTAGATATTTCTCGCAGAAAGAGGAGAGAAAACAGAGAAATTGGTAGCTACTGAACCAAGGATGATCTGAAGAATCTGTTATCCCTGGCTGTCACTCACCAAACCTATTCCTTTAAAATAAATACATGTTAAAATAACTACCGTTCAGCCCATAGTACCCCGAGTGGGGAAAAGTTTTTGATGTTTCTGTTCTTCCTGGGATGCGGTTCTCTTTCTCAGGGTTTTCAGTGCACTCTGAGCTTGGTTTTCATGCCCCTGTTGGAATCTGATTCTGAGGGAGAGGTGGAACAGCTGACAGGGAGTGGGTGTGGCTCCAGTGGCTGTGGAGGAAACTGGGGAAGGGCAAAGGCCGGCTGGGCATTCAGAGGAAGACCCAGGCCCCCCCCCTTTTCATCCTAGGGCACGCAGGGAGGAACGGAGAAGGGAGCAACGTGGGTTACGGGGGAGGAAAAGGCCCTGATTCCCTTAATTAGCTGCAGCTGGGAAAACAGGATAAAGAAGGTGTTTGCGCACAGCTCCTTGCTGGAAGCAAAGCATGAATTATCTTTGTTTGTCACGTCTTATCTGAGTTCTGGCGTCCTCCCAACTGTGTGTGTTTTGTTATCTTTTGGAAGTCTGCAATCCCTTATCCTGCCCTGTCTCGTTAATTGCTGCAGCAAGTGGTTTGTGTTGGTTTTTATTTATAATTTATATGTACTTTGGGTTCGGACTGAATTTCTTCCCTTTAGAAGCTGTTCTTGGGAGAGTTTTTTTCTCCAGCCGATGATAACCGGACATTGGGGGACAAGTTGGAGGTCTTAAAGGGACTTTACCTACTTTTGTGACTTTGTTGCTTTCGTGCCACGCCCCTTTGGGTCATCACATTGATGGTTTTCTTGCAGATGTTTCTTTACCAAACTAGGTAATATCATCAGTGCTACGTTATCAAGTTTGAGTAATGAAACAACGTCCGCAAGGAAGCCACCAAGCTCAGAGCGTACCGAGGACCCCTCATTTCAACCCTGAGCCACGAATATTCTCCTTTATTGGCGTTCTCTTCCTGCACTGCAATAAAATTGCATTCCTTCAAGAATTTTCTCCTGGGAGGGCCAAAGCAGCTTTGGATTTAGAAACTGCCGGCTCTTCTGTGAGAAGCCCCCGTGGGGAAGAGGGCGTGTAATTTCAAAGTCTGCTGTGTTTATTTCAGACCCCTCATTTGGTGAACCTGAATGAGGACCCCCTGATGTCAGAGTGCCTGCTTTATTACATCAAAGATGGCATAACTAGGTAAGCGGCACAATCCGAATCATTTCTGATCCCGTCTTGCGTTTGTGGCTTGGAGCGGAGAAGTTTTGCCTGTTTTTAAGAAGCCGTGACAATGCCTTTAGAAGTCCTCTTTTGTCGGGCACAGGGTTGGTCAGGCGGATGCCGAACGGCGCCAAGACATCGTCCTGAGTGGAGCTCATATCAAAGAGGAGCACTGCATTTTCCGAAGCGAGAGGAACCCCAACGGCAGCGGTAAACAGGAGGCGGACCCTGGCTATTTTAAATCAGGGGTTCCCAACCTCCGGGCTGTGGCCTGTTTTTAACCAGGCTGCGCGAGCGGCTGGCTGGTAGATGTGTCCGTGTGTGTGCAGCTCAATTTACACAAGCGGCGGATCAGCCATGCACCAGCCCGCTTCTTGCACAGCCCGGTTCCAAAAGGGCCACAACCTTTGGAATTGGGGAGCCCTGTTTTAAAATCCCTTAGCCAGCTTCCCCTGACTCCGTATGATATGTTGGATTTCTCATCCGCAGTTCAGACACTGACTGGTTTTCCCCTTCTAGTGATCGTTATTCTGGAACCGTGTGAATGCTCAGAGACCTACGTCAACGGCAAGAGAGTGATCCAGCCGGTCCAGCTGCGTTCAGGTAAAAACGTTCATGAGGAAATGTGTCTTGAATGGCTGACCCACCTGGCTTCATTTTACGCTCAGGATATTTTATTTGACTAGCTCGACAGCCGTGCTTCGCTATGAAACTAGGTGATCGGGCTTAATTTTGGGGGAGGAAAATAAGGAGAGAAAAAATTGTGCCTCCGCCTACCAGCATCCATCGGTATTCATCTGGCTAGCGTCCTGTCAGTGTGTGAGAGAGTTGAGGGCTCTTTGGAAACTGAAAGAGTATTCGCTGTGTGAGCAAGGAGGAGGCAGCAAGGAGCCTGGGCGTGGCTTAGCTCAACTGTTCTGTCCTCAAGCTGCTTGGTGCTCCGAAACTGAAACTCCTCTGCTTGTGTTTTGCCTTTGGAAGAGATTTCTTTTCAGGTAGGGAGGGGGAGTAGAACTCCTTAGCATCAGAGCGTGTTAATAATAATAATATATATAATACTAATGTTCTGATGTCATTTTGAAAAATCCTTTGTTAGTGAGCCCCTAGAAGCCAAGAGGAACATGCATACCAAATTTTCAAGTTTGTAGGCTTTACGGTTCTGGAGGTTTTGTGACGATGCATCTGAGTGGTCTTTCGCCAGGTGTGGGTGGTGGGCTATCTAGTCCACAATTACTAGCCTTGGCTAGTCATTGGGAAGAGCTTGGCGGGTCTACCAAGCCTTTCCACAAATGGGCATTGAATTGAGGTCCTTCTGTACGTTGAGCGGAGTTTCTCAACCCTGGTGACTTGAAGTCCTCACCCCTTCAAGTTGCCGAAGTTGAGAAGTCCCCAAGGTCGACGACCACGTACTCTCCCCTCATCGACCTCTTTTCCTTGCTCCAAATTGCAACGGTTTCTCCCCTGGTGTGGATTGTCCTGGAAAGCGTCGTTGCCTGAGTTTGTCCTTCTCCCCAAAGGACCCTGGGCCAAGCCTCTCTTGTCGCCCCCTCCAGGAAATCGCATCATTATGGGCAAAAACCACGTCTTCCGCTTCAACCACCCCGAGCAGGCGAGGGCTGAAAGAGAGAAGACGCCCTCGGCTGAGACTCCCTCCGAACCAGTCGACTGGACTTTTGCCCAGAGGGAATTGCTGGAGAAACAGGGAATCGATATGAAGCAAGAGATGGAGAAACGGTAAGGCAGAAACCCAGCCAGAAAACCAAACCGAAGTCTGCCGTTATCCCCCCGTGTGAAATGGAAGCAGAGCCATCCCTTTTAACTGGAACGTCATTCGCGCCGTCTTCATAGCAACAAGATAACGTTCAAATTGACAGAGTTGGAAGGGACTTTGGAGGTCTTCTAGTCCAACCCTCTGCTTGAGTAGGAGACCTTGTGCCATTCCAGACAAATGCCCCTCCAGCCTCTTCTTAAAAGCCTCCAGTGACTCCCTGAGGCCAGTTAATTGTTCTCACGGTCACAAATTTCTTCCTTAGTTCTAGGTTGCTTCTCTCCTTGATTCATTTTCCATAGATGACTTCTTGTCCTACCTTCCGGTGTTCTTTGTGGCACCCCTTCAAATATTGGGATATCGCTGCAGGTCAGCCCAGTCCTTCTTTTCTCTAGACTAGCCACACCTGGTTCCTTTTTAGCCAGATCATCTCTTCTCTGCCCTTTGGCGACGGTGCTTCATTTGATAGGATTTTGTTCAGCCCTTGAGATGGATTATGATGTATTAGCTAGTTTCATTCCTTCTGAACTACTTGGGCTGTGAATACAACTCAAAGCCGACAAAGTAAGTTCCTAAAAATCTGTATGCGTTGTTGGAGGAGTGATCTTAACGTCTTAGAGCGGCCAAAAATTAGGAGGAGTCTGGCGCACCTTTTCTAACTCCAAATATTTTCTAGGTAGTCCTCAACTTACAACCACGATTGAGCTCAAAATTTGTATTTGCACTGTCTTTGACTATGAATTCTGTCTTACCTGCTTTGGCCAAAATGGTGCTTTGGGCTTCAAATAAATAATGAATGGCACATACTGACAAACAGTAATGCTGTCTTACCGGAACCTTGCCTCTTTAGTTTTAGAAGAGTTTTGAATGCTTTCCTTCAAGAAATAAATGTACAGTTTTATCCCCATCTCCCCTAAACCCCGGTCAGTGATTTAGTCATAAGTAATCCCCAAACCCGTTTTAGATCCTTTCTTAAGATAGTGTTCTGACTCAGCTCCCCCAAAACGACAAACCTCCTGAAGTTAACTCAGAGATTCCCTTATTAGGAATGCCGACAGCCTCGGCACAAAAACTTCTCTCTCAGGCTAACGAATCCGTCCGTCAGGAAGATGAATAATCTGCCACACCTATTCATCTCTGCCCCTTGCCATTTATCCCCAAAGCTAGGGCAGGGCTTCGCTAGCAGCGGTGGCTTTTCTGTCCCAAGGACCGGCCCGTTGATTTCCACTGCTCTCCTCTCCTCTGCCTTCTGTGCATCCGCGCGTCAGGCACTGGGCCCAGCTGTTCCTCCTCTTCCAGGGGGGTTGTTGACTCTCCGTCTGAGGGCTGATGGACGGCCCAGGCTCCACCTCTGTCCCTCTCTGCCCACTCCACTCCCTCTTCCCCCTTCGGAGCTCTCAGGTTGCCTTGATGCTAACCCTGACTCCTCCTCCTCCTCCTCCTCCTCTGATTCGGCTGCTAGAGGGGTTGCGACCGACAGGCCGCAAGGGATAGTCCGAGTCCCTAGTAAGCAGTTGTTGTATCTCTCTGCAGGCTTCAAGAGATGGAGATTCTGTACAAGAAGGAGAAAGAAGAAGCGGACCTCTTACTGGAGCAGCAGAGGCTGGTAGGTGTCCCTGCCCACCCCGGCACCCGGGCCAATTTTAAGAGAGATTTCTCTGCTTATTCCCAGAGCTAGTTGCCCTTTGGCTGTTAGTGTGCTATTCTGGTTTTACATTGTTATCAGACAATGCGCCGATCTCTCTCTCTCTCTCTCTCTCTCTCTCTCTCTCTCTCTCTCTCT